AGTATATTATTTAAAATTAGCAGAGTCAAAGTCTGGCCTACGTGGCATTATGTAGTCCATCCACTTCTTCCAACGTGAAACAAATAGGTCTCTCTGTAATTCACATCTGCTGTTATTCTCTCCATCCTGTAAATGTCCATCATGATGTCCGTCCACATGTTCAAATTTGGGCTTTCCCTTGACAGCCATTTTGTCGTAAGGGCCTTTTTGCCTGCAACTAACAAAATATTAAACAAATATTTGTCTCTCTTTGGCCATGTCTCAGGCATGAGTCCAAAAAATACAATTTTTATCTCCAAAGCAGGTGACTTCCAAAAATTTCTTGAATTGCCTTATGGATTCCCTTCAAATAAGCTTTAATAACCTGACAATCCCCCAAAACATGGTAATGATTTGCATTTGTATTTCCACAATTACTCCAGCCAGCTGGGGTGTTATCTTCATAGTGAGATTTTTGGCAAGGTGTAATAAAATATCTTATAAGGCTTTTCCAGCCAAACTCCCTCCAAATCTGTGAACTGCTACATTTCCATTGATAAGCCCATATTGTTATCCACTCTTCTTCTGTTATATGTATTCCTCCCTCCATTTCCCATTTTGTTTTTATGTATAAGGTTGAATATGTTTTCATGTTTATATCTTCTCCCTAACAAAATGTCTCATCTGTAAGTAGCGATAGAAATCCTGTGGTTCCAATGAATATTTCTCTCTAATCTTTTCAAAACTAAGCAGTGTACCTTCCTTCATTATCTTGTATTATGCCGTTAGTCCTTTATATGTCCAGTCTTTGAATCTAGTATCCGATTTATTTGGAGCAAAATGTGTATCATATGCACACCACTTAAGGATTATTATATCGTAATTTGTATTCTGTTATTACTGTTCTCCAAATCTTAAGAGTCAACTTGATCCATGGATTTTCTATATTTTTTATAAGGTCTTGCAGGCTACTATCTGCTATAATTGCTTGTATGGGAATGGAGGTCAGACCCTCTTCAATACTTTTCCACTGAGCATCATATGAAGGATTACACCAACATATCATAGGTCTTACTTGTGCTGCCCAATAGTAATCTCTGAGAGAAATATTGATTAATTCAGGTGTGCCTTACTGGAGTAGTCACAACAACCATGATCAGGCACGCCTGTATTATAAATTAATGGAAGCAGCTCCTTTGTAAAATAAATGAGCTGCTTTAATTTCAGGAAGTAGTTGAGCTGGGAATGAAGCCCCTTGAAATATATTTGTCCCTTACATGTCCTATACATTCACACTAAGTCTACAGAGTAACTCCTTGTATTTCAGGTGATACAGCTGTTGGGGATGGGGTAAAACGCCATTTTCTTTCGATGGTAATGGAAAAAATCCAGTTTGGATTCGACCTTAACCTTGGTGAGTTTTTACATTTTTTCGTTTTGTTCGTAAAAATTTTGCCTCAAACAGCAGTAGTGGGGTTGGATTAACTGGCTCTGATTAGATGTTTCCAAACCTGTTTGGAAAAGTTTGTCATCAAAACTCATCTGAAATTGACAACATAAGGCACATTGTACCATGGCGTAAGCTCTTGTATAGATTTTACAGTCTCATAATTCTCACAAATAAATATTCTCAAACTGTAAATGGTCTTCTCTCATATCTTGACTCACCCAAATCTGTTCTTATGACACTACGGACAGCATAATTAGAGGTAGATATTTCCTAGAAATATCTCCAGTGGCAACTGTGAAAAATCTCTCAGGATAATGCTACTGTCTCACCTGAAACAAGCTTTTAATTATATCTGTTCTTTCACTCATAGACAACACTGGCAGAACTCTTCTGTTCAATGGGGCAGATGATCACAAGGTCCCATCCCCCTCCAGAGCCCTGATAGATGGAGATCTTTTTAGAGTAGCTGGACGTGCCATAGGACATTCCTTCATTCATGGAGGTCCCTGCTTCACTGGACTGAGCCCATCAATGTTTCAGCTAATTGTTGGAAGTAATGAGGAGTCTGCTGCATTTGAGCTTTCTGACTGCCCTGATACAGATGTTGTTGATGTGGTGTCTGCAGTAAGTGTTACTTAAAGTCATTGTTGTATTTTGTCATTACGCAACTTTTTGAAATTCACTTGAATTGAGTATTCTAGTGCTATCATGCGAATATGTTTACTTTGTATCTAACATAAAAAGCATAGACCGTATCAGTGATGTAACATTGCCTTACTCTATTAATCATAGCTTGATAGTCAGAGGGAACTGAGTCCACAGGAACGATGCGAGGTGAACAACCTGGCCTTCAGCTGGGATCTTCCTCCCGTTAATGATAACAACAGGAGGTGGTTGGCAGAGAAAATCCTGCAGCATGCGGTATGAATAATTCGAAAGGAAGTTAAGTACAGTAGTGTTCAAAATAATAGCAGTCCAATGTGACTAACCAGATTAATTCAGGTTTTTAGTATGTTTTCTATTGCTACATGGCTGACCAATGACCCATTTTTCTCAGGCTTTCAAAGAGAAATGCATGTTCAACAAGTGCTGGCTTCATCCTAAAACAGGGGCCACCTGATTCACACCTGTTTTTTCACAGAATTGATGACCTCACTGATTGAATGCCACACTGCTATTTTTTTGAACACACCCCTTTCAACTAATTGGCCAATTGCACAGCCTTAAGAGCGTACCTACTGGTAACTTGTTTGCCATGTAGCAATAGAAAATATACTAAAAACCTGGATTAATCTGGTTAGTCACATTGGACTGCTATTATTTTGAACACTACTGTACATGTGAATTTTTTTTTTACATGTATATTACATGTAAAACAAACTGATGCATTAGTCTAATGTCATTTTTTCACCAGCAACTATCTAAGTTATACTTTGCAAACTCTTTGATAATTTTTGTAGGTAATTGAACGGAGACGAACGCAAATGAAGCAACTACGCAAGGGGCTGAAAGACAGTGGTGTTCTCCACATGATGAAGGAGCGTCCTGCCCTAGCCACTGTCCTTTTTCCAAGATCTGCAGAGCAAACTGTGGACTCGCAGGTAATTGGCTTCTCACTGAAACCGCTGACTGATTACATAAATACCAGTAGAGCTATTATTAGGGGGCCAAGCCCGCGGGGCCTGGGAACCGCGAATGCAAGCATACGCGGTTCCCAGGACCAGCGGTGCTGGGAACCCTATTGTAATTGTAAAAAATTATTATTTTTATTTTTCCATTGGTAAAAGTGGTGCTACAGGCTAAACCGTGCATGTGTAGATGTTGCAATTTGGAGGGTTGGTCCAGACCCCTGCTGGGACCTTGGACGCAAAAGGGGGCGCTATACCAAGGAAAACGCGTTTTGGGCTATAACTCCCACACCGTATGTCGCATATTCAAAAACCTCATATCCACACATTCCCTGAATAGCACTGAATCACCTGGGCTAGTTTTCCTAGTTTTTATAAGCCTCCATTGTTATATCCAATAATAGCTGCCTTTTCTAAAAGGGCTTTTCTAAAAGTGATGGTTCTTGACAAAATAGCTCTACTTCTTAATATACCCTTTCTGTTTATAGTCTTTGAGACTATTTGTTTTTGTTTCTCAGACCGTCTTGAAAAGGATCATCTGGCCAATGCCAGATAGTGAGGATGAGGATGACCATAGCAGCGTGGAGGAGACATGCCAGGTCACAGGCTTTTTGAGAGCCTACATTGAAAATGGTCAGATTTTAAATGTTGTCTCTGAAAAACATAGATTTGAAACATGTATATCTCCTAGAGTTGTTGGTAATTATTCACATTGACTCCATATTTATGGAAACATGTTGCTGAAAAATCTACCTTGTAACATTTTTGTAAACATTTTTTTATTTTACTGTAGAAAGCCCTTTTTCACAGTCACCGTACAGTGAAGCAGTGATTAATGATATTAGGGTAAACTTCAAAAAGTTATGATGTACAGTATCTCATTTGCAGGTTTTAAAATACTTATGACTGTGGCTTTGTAGGGTCCTCTCGGGAACTACACCAACTCCTGAAGTTTTGGACAGGTTGGAGTATACCTCCCCAGCACCTGTATGTAGAGGTTTCTCCTGAAGTTACCATGCCTGTAGCCTCAACCTGCATGACAACACTGAAACTGCCTCTGAGATGCCAAAGTTACCAGACATTCAAAGAGAACCTTGAAGCATCTGTTAGAAGTACAGAGTTTGGTTTTGGAATGATCTGATTTGAATAATCAGAGAAACAGAGTGTCTTTAAGTTAAACATTTTAATGTTGTACTTATTGCTTCTAAATTAATTTCAGATCCCCAGTTGTGCAAGTTCGTATTTACCCCTTTTGCATACTTTTCATTTGTGGAGCAGTTTGCCATGTTAAGGCATTACCACATTACCTTGAAGTTATATTGCACTTTTTTTATTGAAGTAAGCTTGTGTGGTTTGTTAAGGTTAAAAGAGAACTTCAAGAAACATTTTAATCTGACATATCATTGTCAAATGTAACAAATCCGTATCAAATGTTGACGTTTGGCTGGCTAATAAAGATGTGATTCCTGCATTTTAATGCACTTTTACATACAGTTGTGTGGTACAGTTTGTGAAAGTTCTTTGATTGAAAAGATGTAGGAACAGTCTCTTTGGTATATATTTTTTTTGTTGCCTCTGTTTTTATTGTGACACATAAATGTCTAGAGCAGGGGTCCCCAATCCTGGTCCTGGAGGGCCCCTATCCTGCATGTTTTAGATGTCTCCCTCTTCCTCCACCTGATTCAAATGATCCTCTCATCATCAAGCTCTGCAGAAGCCTGATAACGATCCTGATCATGTGAATCAGGTGTGTTGGAAGAGGGAAACATCTAAAACATGCAGGATAGGGGCCCTCCAGGACCAGGGTTGGGGACCCCTGGTCTAGAGCAACATGAGGTAGAACACTTAAACAGGCACAGAGGGAATCGTTACTGTGGCCTGTTTGTAAACTACATATACTATATATGTATATGAATGCATCTCTTGGTCCTGCACCCTCACTTTCACTCATCCAGTTCTGGCTGTATCAACTGCTGTAGTGTGGCTATGTAGATGTCCAGTGCATCCATGAAGGGAACACTGGGGTCAGGTAATCTCGCCATGTTCTCCTCCGTCAGGTGTCGCTCCAGTTGCACTTGAGGTACTTCAACTTGTGCTGCTTGACCTCCAAGGTCATCAAAGCCGTACGGTCCATCCCAATCGATACCATAGTCTGCCTCCACCTGAACACAATAAAAGACAATCACAATTTTAAGATTAAACGTTTTACAAGCTTTGTTGAGACTTATACACAAGCTATGGCATCTTCAAATTTTTCATTTAAACATTTTCAGTTGCAGTTTTAAAATGATAAGCTATGAAATCTGTTCTCCTAAGTATAAATATTAAGTTATGTAATCTAGCCATATCATTTTAGGCTTTTTAAATGTATAATTTAAATAATGGCTCCTGAGATGATGCACTCACATTCGATGCACCATTTCAACACACCTGATCAGGATCTTCAAGGTGTCTGAATGATGTCCAAAGTTGGTAGGGAGACTGGCTACCTGCTGTTCTCAGGCTATGATGGTTCCAGGCATCCATGAAGAAGGCAAGTTGCTTTTGTAGTTGAGGCAGAAAAGCCCAGTGGAGAGCAAAAAGATGACTCTCATTATCAGGATCCAAAAGCCCTTCTCTCTCAAGGTTGTGAAAGAGAATATGGAATGGGTCAAGGACTTGGATGTAGACATCTCTCCATAACCGTTCTATCCTGGAAGAACAAGTGGCATGATTAAGCTGATCACAATTAAGAAAAAAATTACAAGCAAAAAGAAAAGAAGAAAAATGTTTTTGCTTTGATTTATAATTAGTAGTTGGTAGATTGGATACAGGAGTGTATATTACAGTTGGATGTTCAGGAAATTCAGTAATTGCTTTAGAAATGTATGTCTAGCCTCATCTGGTCTTGGTAGAGTACTTGCATAAAAATTAAGTAGGAAAATGTTTTATGGTACTGCAAGTGCAAATACAAATAGTTCAAATACAAGAAATGAAAAAACATAAGGAATAATAATAAGGAAAAACTTGAGGCTGTTTAAAATTTTACCCCCTCAAATATACTATACATTTTGTAAACATGAAAAAGCAACAGCCTCTTAAGCAAATGACAGATGACATTCAGGCTTTGTTCAATATTTTCAAGTCAATAATGTAGACAAATTTTACTGAAATACAAATTTGTGAATAAGGCCTGTGAGAGTTATTGCAGAGGAACAAAAGGAATGAACGTTGGGGAATAATAACACTTATTATGTGCTCTCTGGCAATGGTTTTCTCATAATACATTGCTATTGAAAACTTACCGCTGGTTATGGACACTCCTTCCAGTAATGTGCGAGTTTCGGTTTTCTCCTCGGTGTGCCACCATGAAATGGGCCACCTCAACATTTTCACCACCCTTGTCAGAGCGCACACGTGATGGCAAACCAAATTTCTCGACGGCACCAATAAAGCTATTCAACACTGTAGATGCTCGATTGTTTGTTGCAGAAGACAGATAAACAATTAAACGGCTGAAGCCATCTATTCCAGCGTGAATAACAAATCTCCAGCTATTGGGAAAAAAAGAAGATATAATGCATCAGATATAAATGTGAAGAACGTTCACTCACAGCTTATTTGACACAAAGAAAAAGGTAGGGTACAATGATGAAACGTTTTAGGGCAGGTGAAACAACTCAATGTATCGTATGTTCAAGTATGTAAAAACAAATTTGAAAAAAACCGTATTAATTTGTGGTTTCCATCTATGTGCCACATTGCATTTGGTGCAGGAACAGAGTATTGCCTCCGTCTTAGAGTGCGATTGGCCATAGCTCGCACTTCAGTCCCAGTTGGGTCCACTCGTCTTAAGGAGTCACGTACTCTTGTAACTACAACAAAACAACAATAAAATGTTAAATCTCAAAGAACAAACACATGAAATATTAACAGCATTTCAAAAATCAGTGTTAACACCATTTTGTATGAAAAGCACTTTACAAATACATTTTATTCTGTTTTTATTATTTAGGTCTAACAGAGAGACTACATTGATTGATGCAGTAGACTTACCACATTCATATAAGGATCCACTTTATATCAAACTTACTTTGCACCAGCAGCCCGCTGGCATGAAGGAATGATTTCATCATTCTGTATCCTGTGTTTGGGTGACTATGTTGGATTTCTGCAATGATGGCATCAAGCTCTTGGTCAGTCATTGCAGAATACATGTCCAACTTTCTGAACCAACAAACACAGAAAAACAAAACAAAAATTCAGAAAATGATTTTGGCAAGAAAGATGGTTTGTTATTTATTTAACCTTATTTATCTAACCCTAACCCGAGTTAAGCTTGAAGTTCTGCTGTGGATCTGTTCCAGTGAATCCACAGACTAACACACAACACAACAGAGGACGTAATTGTGTGTTGTGGGTTTTGTTTGGTCAGACAAATAACTAGTTTTGTGCCTCGTTATTAAACAGGTTATAGACTTTATTAACTAGTGGTGTTTACGTTTTTCTGCGACGTCTTATATATATCTAGTATATTTATCTTCACACACGCAGGGTCGGGACGAATCTGTGAACGGAGCATCTGGAGCGGTAAATATCACCAGTTAATCTTGCACACCGGACCGCGGCCAATAAAAGCTCGACCTGACAAAATACAGTATAAATTCCATTTCAACCTTTATACTTAGTGTACACAGTCATTCTACTAATTTTAGGCAAATGATAATGGAAATAAAGAGCTCACCTCAATCCGTTACTTCTCATCCTCCTTGTGATTGTCTGGCGGCTTACGCCAAACAGTTCTGCGATGTCCTTGACTTTGAGGCCATACAACAAATACATCTCTAGAACTTCGAAGGGGATGTCGATGGCCGGTCGTCCCCTTTCAGGCACCACCGCGTCAAGTCGCTGAACGGCTGAGAGCAGGTTAGCTAGCGCAACTTCATTCACATTGGTGTCTGTGATGGCAGAGTACGCAGCCAAGCTCTCTATAATCAGCTCAAGTCTCTCACGGGCATCAGATTGAGAAATGGTATTTAATTCCACATGGGAAGC